GATGTAACATTTGAAACTATGATTCCATCGGGTCATGATGTTGAAATTACAGCAACTGTTTTGTATTCTAATGAACAATTCAAACTTACAGGCCTTACAAAAGGTAAACATGATGTTGTTCTGAAAGCATCTATCTTTGCCGAAGCAGGACTATATGCCATAGAAATAAATGCAACAAATCCTTACAGAACATTTTCTGTACATCTGGCAGTAGCAGTTGTCCAGGAAATCGTTTTGGAAGGAAACAATTTAAACCAGTTCAATACCGCTGACCTTCCTTTTGTCATGGCTGGCAGGCCTTTGAATATTGTTTCTTTGGTTCAGACACATGATGCTGTCTTTTACCTGTTTTCTATTTATAAGGAGATGAATCAAACGGTAATGTTAATGGGTGCCTCATGTGACTCATTTGCGAATGAAATTGTTTTTAGTCATATTATCAACGCTACAGGCAAGTTGCACTTTCAATGGCAATTGTCTAACTACGTAAGCGACATTTCTGCGGCAACAAACTTTATTTCCTACTATGCTGTCAATGATTTTAATATAAGTGTAAATGAGCCTATAGCTTTGTATTCAACACAATTAGTTTTCACCATAGCGATCAACCCAACCGCATTTTTGGCCATGGGAAACGTCAAATGCGAACTTTATTACGACAAAACAAAACCTGACAAAGAACTCTTTAACTTTGATTTGACACGCGATAAGTTTGATGAACTCACAAACACGTCCGTAGCATATCCACATTATTACATTGCCGGTTGGTATACAGCTAGGATTGTGTGTAACAATGAGCTTGCCACCGTGATAGATAATCAGAATTTAACACACCTAGATATCGATATTGATGTTATAGTAGAGAATCCGGTCGAAAACATTGTCCTGCAGCACAATAGTACAAACATTTTTCAACACCCTTGGTCAAAACCAATTTTGTTTACGGTTGAATTGTTTAATGAAACCGTTTTACCAATATACAATGTCTCATGTGTCATCCAGTACGGTGATACTGGAGTAGAACCTGTGGTGAAAGGGGATCTTACTCCGATTAGTAATCTAAATTATTCACAAAGGTTACCTGGGGCAGATGCCGAAATAACTGTGTATGTACACTGCAGTAATTTTCTTACATCTCTGACAATGGAACAAGTTGTCTACGTGTACTTTGATTGCTGGAGGACCCAGGCATTCTTCGACAAGGTGTATAAGAACAAGTCAACATCGATGATCGCATATACAAACGAGAATGTACTGGTAAGCCATTATTACATTTACATGAGTACAGATTAGTAAATAAATGCTTATATATACACACAAGATTTATCACGATAAAAGACTACCCCCACTGTTTTTAATATGCAACAAACAACACCTTTTTGCTATAATTTATTCCTGTCCATTTCATAGGGATACATTAAAATGTTTTTCATAAATTGATTTTTACTTCGATAAATTTACTCTGTAAAATATTTCCTTCTAAATGAGTTATGACCGAAACATGTTATTAAATCGGCGTAAAACAAGGAAAGAAAACAATATTAATAATATTTTTTTATGATATTTATCTATACATAAAGTAGTTTATTCTAAATATCAATGGATACCTTGTATGCGTTGCATATTCACAGCTAAAAGCAGCAATTTGGTTGACGTTTAATTGTGAGCCTCCAATTGAAACATGGTGGGAGTTCTATAAGGTTGAAGACAATGGAACACAAATAAAACATTTCGAGCATATACCGCCTATTCCTTCCGTCGCTTATACAATAAGAGAGAGCACGTTCCGTGAAGGCTTATACAGGATCTTCCTAACCTGCTATTACCCGCTATTCAAGAGAACTCCAAAACTAAAAGACAATTTTTACTTGCGACTTCTTCTTCCGAACGTTATACCAGTTATAACAGATGGAAATGAGGAAATTAAATTTTTGCAGAGAAAAATAGATCAAACATTCATAATAGACTCTAGCTTAAGCTTTGATCCAGCTGGTAAACTAGATCATATTCAGCAAATTCCACTTACTCGCAGATGGGATTGCATAACAGGCGACAGTTTGAAGGAATCAGAGACTTTAGGATATTTTATTTCTGGAATATTGCCGGTGTCTGCAGATCAAGATTGTTCCGAATTGTTATCATCTTATGGTTCGGTTATGTTTAATCTTCTTCATCTGCTATCAGTGTTAATATTGTTGTTTTTAAATTTAACATGATTTATGTTTAATAAGGGAAAATTCATTTTTATGTTGTTAGAACCATTTGAATACAACATTATTCGATTAATAATGATGTCTTTGCGAAATATCCTATACACAAAATGATATATGATAAAAGACATTAGAAATATTGACAATTTATATATGGATATAATAGAAATCAATTATTCTCTCACTTGCACCTTTTTGTTGTTCTAGATGCTGAATCTTATGAAATACCTGCAAGCAATGTTAATCTAAATCAATGGTACATTTTCACTTTCAAATTAACTCGAGGTGACAGATCCGCACAGAAGTCTATTGCTCTAGTAGCTCGACCATTAGATCCTCTTCCTGTTTTTATCAGGTATGTGAACTACTGTATATTAATATTCATTAGATTTAGGTTTGGCAGACAAATATGCTTTGTAATTACTGGCCAAATTAACTCATTACAATATTCATTAGATTAGTACTTGTTCAGAGTCAAGAGGCCCTTGTTTAGTATCTAAAATCATGTATATAACGAAACACGTGCAGTTAACGTTGCTAGAGATGTGCCAATCTCAAGAATCCCTTCAATTTATTTGTTTTAGGCACAGTACTTATTGATTGGTAGAAAAATGTTCGTTCAAGAATAATTTATAGTGTTTCTTATTTTCTGCTCCATTTACATTTAGCTGCCTGCATATAGCGTTTCTTGAACTGACATTTAACTGAATAAATGTCAAAATAACGTGTATGAGAAATTTTCTACTGTATATTAAAGGTGTTTACAGAACTGCCACCCCGGTTCTTCGAATGTAGAAAAGCTTATAGTAGATGACCTTCATCTTAATGTAGAACTTGGTATTGGTGGAGATATTGCAGGAGCTGCATACAATTGGACTGTTGAGAAGTTTGAAGATGGAAAATTTATAGATTTGACGGGTGATATAACCAATGCAAGTGAGTGCCAAATTATCGCGAAGATAGAGTAAAAGACTACAAAGTTTTCAGTCGCATACTGTATATAATTATTCATAAAGTAACCTTATTACACGAAAACGCAATTCGGTACGTAGATTCGTATACTTTAGAAACACTAAAAACGACTTGGTTTAGATTAGAACTTACAGAAAATAACAATTATGCATTGAGTGAATATATGTTTATCAATAAAAGAATGATATACGTATAGTGTGTGATCTTTAAATATTTTACAGAATCTACAGGTTTGCATGTCACTAAAGAATGGCTACAAAGTCATTTCAAGATAGATGAATTGACCAAGTTCCAGATTACATGCACAGTTAAATTGTCTGGGTTCCAGGTTTCGTTTGATGTCAAGCAGTATGTTATAAACTTACCTCCTTATGGTGGTAACTGTTTGATAGCTCATAATGGTACAGGTAAGGCAACCAAGCTAGAACCTTAGTGATATAAATAATAACATAAAATATCAGTTAAAAGATACTTGGTCGAGGTTAAACAGCTCTTACTTGCATATGTTATTTCGGAGTTTTGTAATAGCATTTAACTTTTAGATGAAGGAAACACTGCAAGATATGTTTCTATAGGGAACTGACTAGTGTTTGTAAGGGCACCTTACACGTATACGTATCCATGTACACATTAATATTGTGCGTTATTAACCCTTTACTTCATATAGACGTTTTCTGACGGCTTTTCGACCCCCCCCCCTTTGGGGGGGGGGGTGGGGGCTCAAACAGTGAAAAATATTTAGACCCCAAACACTGCTTTTGGTTAGGGAAATGTTGCTTGAAAAGTGATCACTTGTTAGGCGCCGCCCCTATCAAAAAGGTACATCAGGGGGTTGCCTATAGGGGATGTGACCCCTTCTGTTTGGGGCCCCCCTAATCGCCAAGAAAATTGTGGAGTTGTGAGAGGCTAAAATGACCCCAGGCCGATTATAAAGTAATGTGTAAACAACGCTGAAAAGCCTTTGACTCTATCTCAATCCATTTAGAAGTTGCAGCACTTTGAAATCTATATTTTGATGGAAAATAGTGTTTTTTTGGCAATTTTGGGATGTCTCGTCGTTGCCATGGTAATAGGAAATTGTGCCAAGTTTGATTAGTATTGAAGTATTTTCATAGTTTCATAGCAGTTTAAACTTGTAACAGGAGACTTTTCAATGAAAACGGCCATTCACGATATGCTCATGAGGGAAAGGGTTAATATGCAAAATTACACCGATTTTTTTTCATTTATATTTGTTGAACACATCAGTAATCATATCATTTATCATAAATACCTCAACATGATCTTCTTAGTGAACCAGGCATGTTTTTCTTATTATGTTGTGCCTTTTGTTTGTACATTGTGTTTCCAGGATCGTGTACGTTATTCGTAGTTGCGTCATTTTGGATAAACAAAAAAAATAATTTCGCTTCATAACTCGTTAAATTCTTGTGTTGAATAAGGTATTCCCTAAAGAATAAATGAAAATTAATTTTAAAGCAGTATAAAATGTTTATTTGGAGGAAATTCACAAACATATTTAACCAGAAAGTTTGTTTCCGATGCTCATTTAGATCATTTTATAATATGCATATTCCTTAGATTAATATACAAACTTAAGAATAGCCGATGAGATTCCCTAATTAAAGTTTGTAAATTTTAAATGACCAATGAAAATCCGACTTATATTCAGTTCTTCTCTGTTAATGTTACAGAAAGACTTCGTCCGTAAAAATAATTTCAATAATTTCAGCTTTTACAGAAGGAACAATGAATGTGTATGGAATAAAATTGTTTGAAGATTAATGTAGTTTATTTAATTTTAATTAAAAAAAAACAATGGCACGGTTTCCCGATCGTATTGTCAATATATTAAAATGTTGAAAGAAAGATTTGTCTAAGAAATTTACTACACTTGATTATCTAATATATGATTTTCTATGTATACATTTAGAGATCGGTGGAAAACATTCTAGAACCAACAATTTGCTTTTGCAATCATGTCGTGTTTATCGTGTAATTATGATATTTGCTAACTTTATGTCAATTATTAAATAAGCTTATCAATTGCTTGAATTAAATGGTTATATCTGAAATGAAATATGAAATCGATTCTCTCAGTGTTTTTCTGTATGAAAATAGTGATATTATGTGATCTAAATTAACAATTATTAAGGATTTTATTGTTTTTTTTAGCTATTGCAGGCGTGACAATCATATGCTTCAATTGTTCAAACTGGAAAGATGAGGGAGTTAACGAGGATCGGGACCCCGACAATGATAAAGGTGGTGCGTTGAAATACGTGGCTATACAAAGATTTCTCGACAGTGGCGGAAATGTGATATCCAATATACCAGGAATAGCGAGAACACCGACAGGTATATATGTGTGATGAAATATCTTGTTATAAAATTCACAGGTAGTACACTGTTTTAATATACTTGTTCCTTCTTAAGTTATTATATGCAAGAATTATTTTTCATAATTAAAAGAATTATAGTCGCAAACTTAAAGCTTTCATTGTTTTCATATTTCAGGCAATGTAGACCAGTGTTTTCAACTTGAAAGGCTTCCTAGTGAAGAAATAGATTACACACGTTTAGAAGTGCATATATTAGATTCATTAACTGAACCCTCAGCAATTGTCGACTTTGATATTTCCGTATGTTTATTTTTTATAAAAGAAAATCAAATTTTGAGTGAATCACTTGCACAAGATAAGTGTTTGAATATTTGTTTGATCATATGTTTTTGTATATTTGTGTACAAGTTATTTTTCTGTTATAGAATGTGTATATAATCCTAAAATATAAGGGCATTTGGTTTGTCTTTACCTTTAGATATTATAAAATAACATTGTATTTATACTTAGACAAATTTGAATATCAAAAGCACAGCATGCAATTATGCAGAATATCCCGTTTCAGGTGACTAATCCACTTCCAGCGGTTGTCACATCATCAAATGAAAGTGTTTTGATAGATAAATTAATGGAGGACAATAAAGAAATTTTACTTCAATACAGTAGCTTGAATGATTTTCAAGGCACTGCAGATATTGTATCTTCAATTGCTTCAGTTATATCTATCAAAGTAAGTATCATCTAGTTTAGACTTTTAATAATGTATACAGGCATACACATGGTTATCATAATCCTAAAAGAGTCTCAAAATGAGTGTCATTTCTTTTAAAAAGACTAATCGCTTTCAAATATGTTATGATTATAAACACTTACAATAATACAAATACTTATAAATCTGCAAAAAGGAATATTCTTCGGAAAGATATGAATAATAATTGAAGGTTAATAGTGCAGACTCGGGTTGTTTAACTCAGTTTATCTGTAATCTTTAAACAAGCAAACAATTCAAAAGATGACAAACAAAAGTTTTAATCAAATTTTGTATCGTCAATTTCTACTTTCTTGTCAAACGATCACCGTCTTCCGTGTCTTATCATTTGCGTGGAAAGAAGTTTGTTCTCTGATATAAATCAGATTTTGTATATCTAATTTCAGGTTGAGCGATCTGCGTCTTCCGTGTCATATCAATTACGTGGAAAGAACGGTTTCTTCTCTGATTTTCATGCGGATGGCACCTCGTCGTTAGTTAAAGATGCAATGACAGAATTCGGGGAACCTGTGGCTAATCCACTAGTTCTTAAATTACAGGAGGTAAATAGTAACATTTAAGTGTTTTTCTATATCGTCAGACTTGTCAAAAGTGTGATCACCTCATTATGGTGAATCTTGGATTTTTTTGAAATAAGTAACAACAATTAGTCACAGAATAAATGCACAGATGATAATAAAATAATAAATATGTTTAAGATTAAATGTTCTTAGCAATCAAACTACATAATAGAAATCTAGAAAACTTACTTCAAACTTTTCAAACAACTTACTTGTATTTTTAAATTGTATTTCAAAACTATCTTTGGCGCAAAGAGAAAACGTGAGTTCAAAATTATGAACCATTTAACAATATAGTTCCAACTGTTAAAAATGCAAGTCCGCGATAAGATAATCCTTAGGCTTACACAAAATCATTTTAGCATTATATAGATACAAACAGATTCTGCAGTTAAGCTCACACGTTTATAAGGAAAACATTTTTCTTCACAGTTTTTTTTTAAAATTGTGTGGGAACATTTATATATTGCATACAACCCGTTTGTTGCCTTCATATATTTTAAGACAAACCAGTTTCTGGTTCAAACGATTAAATCCGTTATGGAAAAATTGAATCAAAGTGAAGCACGGGATATCTATAGTAACCGACAACTTGTATCAGCTATTATACAAATCTCAAATGGTCCAGAGGAAAATGTTGCAAATGAAACTACGGTAAGATAAACAAATGTTTAACGTAGCACTTATGATGAATTGGTGCAGTTGTAGTAATTAGTACGTTAGAAGTTTTGATAAGTCACCTATTTGCACATTTTATACAAGAACACTTATCTCTCTCTATTAAAAAGGCTATACAAATACTTTACTTTCAGCATTTGCTTTGCCATTTACGTTAATAAATTTTTAACCAGGTTTTCAACGAAATCCGGGTTATTGTAATGCCGAAGTCGGCGGGTGGACGGGCGTCAACTTTTGGTTTCCGCTCAATAACTTGAGTTTCCTTTGGCCTATTGACACTAAACTTGGTGATTGTTATTGGGATTGCTACCCAGGTGTCCGTTGTCAAGGTCAAAGTCAAAATTCAGTTTCAGCTCAATAACTTGAGTTTGCTTTGGCCTATTGACTTCAAACTTGATGTATGGGTAGCTTATATCAAGAAGCAGCTTTGGATTGCTACCCAGGTGTATATGATCAAGGTTAATGTATTCAGTTTTCACGTTATATACCTTGAGTTTGCTTTGACTTTTTGACACCAAACTTGCTGTGTGGCAGCTTTTGATTGCCACTCAGATATCTGGGAGCAAGATCAATGTCGTTTGCTCACAATAGAATTTCCAGCTTCTACTCAATAACTTCAGTGCACTTTGACATATTGATTGCTGTTACAGCAAAACTTGGTCGTTGAAAACCTGGATTTCGTCGCATTGCGGCGCTTCTTAATGTTGTTGTTTTAAATCAATGTTCTTTTTTATCTATATTAAGGTTTCAAACATTCTCTACATAATACATTTATTATTTTAAAAGTCTAAATCAATTATTAGCAGCATAATATTTCTACCATTGTTATATATTGCATAAAAGAACAAAGACTTCAATTTTGTTCAATTACATCATCTTTTATATAAATCTTTTCATACATGCTTCATCTTAACATTAATTTAACAATATAATAAAAGTAAACATAAATGAAGATATGTGAAGATAATGATATGTGCATGTTTATGACAGAATGAGATTCTTGCTATCGCTGAAAATATCATCACGTCAATGAGGAATCTTGATAATGATGATCCTACAGCAAGAAAGCTAGAGGAAGGTAAGGCAAACTTTATGATCTATGTTAAACACTTTATCCAATTTTATGATGTGTGTGCGTGCCTGCAACCGTATGCATCAATTAAGGCTGTGTACAATTGCTGGGCATAAAGCGAGCTGTTAAGATAGATTTGCACACATCGTACTTATTAAGGCAGTATCTGTCATATGCTCAGAGACCTTCTGGCGGGTTTAAGTTACACTGAAAATGTTATGATTAAATGGCAACTTTCTAGTTTAATGGTGGAGAAAGTCCTCAGGTGCCCCTCTGTGCATTATTTCAGGCAAGAGCAGGCACCTGGGTTAAACTAACGACGTTCCTTAAGTTAGATGATTGCTTTCTCAAATGAAAGAATTCAGGATTTGAAAACGCAACAGTAAGACACAAATAGTTTGAAGTCAACGTCCTAAACACAACTCGGCTACGTACACCCCATATAAATGTATCAATAATCGGCGCCAGAGGGAGATTGTAAAAATAATAATTTTATTAAACATTTTCTGGCAACGCCAAGGTATTCTGTACGTTAGTTTAGCATATGAAAACGTTAACCCTGCCATAGCTTTAAGAAATTTAAAACACATCCCTGTATACTAAGGGATAGTAAGAAAAGTAAGAGATTGACATTTTCAAGCGTTATGAATTTCAATCTTTTTACTATACATGTTTTAGGAATTCGTTTGATAAATACAACACCTAAGCAAAATGTTTAGGGCAACGGAAAGGATATATTTTACACGATGCAAAGTTATCTACAGAATATGTTGCCATTACAAGGACATGTGTTCTTCTTTTTTTCAAATAGAATATAGAACTATATTGTTCAGCAATGTAAACACATTACTCTTCAGAGACTTCCGTGATGATTCAGACAATATCCATGCTTGTTGTTCCCGACATAGCTGAGTTTATGCACACTGGATTTTCATTGGTTGATTTAAGACAACTTGGCGATGACTTACAGATATTCGTATCTTCTGATTTGTTAAATGTTAAAGAGCAGGCTGATTTCACGGAAGATGAAAGGGTTTTCTTCAACTCAATGAATCAAAAGCATATTGCCTATGTTGTTTCTGCTAAGATTCCACAAGTAAGTGTAAAACAAATTAAATTAATGTTTTATTTTGTGTTTTGGTAAAAACATTTCTAAATCATTATTTCACTTTATATGTAGCTTTGTTGTCTGGGTTATAACGTATTAAAGGCCCATTATGCTCCAGAAATGCTTATATTTTTCTTTATGAAAAACCTTCTTTTTTGTTGTCCTGTTAAACATGTAGTTTCAAAAATGTTTTTCATTGGCCAATTAACTGAACCATCTTTTGCTTCTGTTGTCTTTTTGCTTATAGTAATTTTACATTTTTTTGTATGGAAGTCAAAATACTGCATGGACTTTGTTCATATTTTGCTACTAAAATGACAAATAATTCCACATTTAATGCTACATTCTTAAGGTGAAAAGTCTCTAACATGCTCTCAAATAATTATCTAAATGTTATAAAAACTGATTTATGCCATTTCTTAAGGGAAAAAAGTATTAATTTTAGAGGCATAATGTTCCTTTAAGCAAATAAATAATGCTCCTTTAAGTATATAACAGAAATAAAGTTTATCCATATAAGATTTTGAGCGATTTTGAGACAGACAAAAAGGAGAAGTACCCTGATATTTATATCAGTTATACAAAGTTAAAAAGTATCAAAGAAACAATCATGATTTCAAAATTGAATAATATACCAGTATTACAATAATACAAATATTTTTATCTAAAATCAAGAGTAGGGGTGATTCCTGGGAATTAACAAAACAGAAACAAACGATTCGTACGGAAAATGCAGACTCGGTTTGATTGAATATGATTATGAGAGATGATTTTTAAGTGCAACCTCTCTTAGGCCCCTTAGCACCGACTGCAGCATGTTAAATCTTCAACACGAAAGTATTTTATATTATTTTAGTTTAAATCGCAATATGTTTCTTATCATCACAAATGTGAAAAACAGTCTGGATAATTCGCACAAGTAAAGTTTTAATGCAATTCATTTCAATTCAGCACGTAAAAGGTCGACATTGTATTTTGACAGATTCGTAAGGTAAACGGACTGAAGAAAATGTATGAAAACGACTTGTTGAACAACTATGCTTTAAGTGATGGTTCACTTGTAATTGTTGGCGATGGCGAAAATTCAACAATGACTGTAGCTATGACAACAGATAATGCACAAATTCTTGCTACAAAAGTGCTTACACTAACCAGTCTGAACGTGAGTGTACCAGGTCTGGCTGAAATTAACGGAAAGGCCAGAATTTTGGTAGGTTATTTTGATGATATTTCAATAAAACATGTATGTATAATGAAAGTGATGATTTTGAAAAAAAAATGAAAAACAGTACCTTAGTTGATATAGCATCCTTATGCAATATAATATGTTTACATCTTAAAACTATGACTAAGATGCACGGCCATTTAGTGCCCTAGATTTCAGACTTTACACACTATTGAATCGCGTGATTTTGTATAAAAATGAGGACTGCTTAGCCTCCAGAAGTCCATTATTTTGATTCATTTAAGTGACAGACTTTCTCGGAATCGCAACAAAACCTAGTGTATTGTATGGGCAGTAAAATTCTTAAAATATGGATACGTTAATACGTTTTTGTGCGTATTAAGATCTGTGGACAGAAAAATGTTTAAAGAGTGTTTGATTTGTATCAATAATGCATATGCAGCCTTAGTAATCTCCACGCGATGACAATAAATTGGTTAAACAATAAATGAATAAAATGTGCTTTTTTACTAAAACCAAGCAACCAATTTTAGCATATTTTATTGTAAAAGTCCATCAAAATCTTGTCGAAAGATAAGAAGCATCCAAGTGTTTCATGCTGAAGCAAAGTAAGCTAAATGAGCATTTTACGGATCGTAAGCAACATGGGAACAAAATATTGTTTTACGCTTGGTGTCAAATAACTTCAAAGTTACGAAAATTTTGCGAATTCGTCTCTTTTTTTTTTCTTTTTAAAACACTTTAAAGGTGTATTCTGTTTACGATTATCACGAATGTACTTAAATTAATAAGCATTGTACAACTAAAATAAACTCAGATGGGACACTGATCTTAACACGTGAGTGACCACTCATACCATGGTTGCTTCAAGTTGCCATTTTGTTTTGTCAAGCTGAACTCAACAAAGTGAATCGATCTTTATATACATTGGTGCCATTTTTAAACCACTAACGGAATCTTAAACCTTGCTAAACTCAATAAATTCGATAATCCGCAGTAAAACATAGCTTTTTTTCAAATTTTTATCAAATTATTTTGCAGTAGAAAAAAATCATTTAATTTTTTATGACCTGAGATATTTTACGGGTGGGTTCTATTGGGACGTTTTAAATACTACAAAACAAGCTGACGAACGAGAGACAAATTTCGTTTGGCCTTAAGGGATTAAGTGAAAAGTCAGGCAGGGAGATATAATCAAAGGGCTGCATGCTCTGTGGTATTTTCTGATCTTTCATGTATAAGTTTATTTTTATATACTATTATTCATCTTACGCAGCGACTGCATGATTGATATATATGGAATTTTGCATGCTTAGAGCTGCATCAAAAATCATTTTTCATTTTTTATTACAGCCACACTTTATCCTTGCATATCGTGGCAACTTCCTAAAAAAAGACACTTCAAAAAAATTGTTGCTTCGACAAGGATTTTAACCTTAGGCCTCTCACACCCTAAACGAGCGCGCTACCTGTGCACCACAGTGAAGTAATACTTATGTAGCGTGAATAAAAACAAATATATTGTAATTCTAAAATTGAGAATTTTCATTTCGTATTTGTAATTCTTATTAATTTCGAGGTATTTTGTTCACGATAAACCTGTTGTTAAACACTGATGAAAATAATTTAGCGAAAATCTTCTCGCCAAAACAGTCCAACATGTATATATTATATGACAGTCAGATTTATTTGTGTACTACGCTCTGGAGTATTCGGTAATCGACATAGCTAAAAATAGCATGTTCCTTGATTAAGCTTTACGGAAATAGTCGAACATTTTTCATTGGGTAAAAAAGATATTCATCCGCGAAATTTGTGATTGTAACCTCATATACTATTGACTAATGTAAACTTTTAATGCACTGTAATTCGTTCAATGTCTACATTAAAAATTATTCTTTCTTTTAAATTGCTGGTTTTTAAGCGGTTTTGAGTGAGAATTACTTGGCGTTGTTACGTCTGTGAGGAAATTTTGTGTTAGACTGTGGATGTTAGCTATGTATTTACTGATCTTGCGATCAGAAAATACAAAAATCATTTCTTAACTAACACAACATTGTTTTCTTAAAAATTAGGTATTTACATTTTAATAAGTATATGTCATCAATATATCACCGCTATATAACAAAATGATTTTAATGTTCCGTGCATTTTATTCTTCTATAAAAATCTCATCTTGGGGATAGGAACTCATATTAAGGTATGCTCCAAATATTTCTAATTTATAAAATTAATATATATATTGCAATATTCAAAAGAGTAGTCTGGCCTGACCATTTATCTGTTTTACACCGATTTTGACACATTTTTGTGTATAATTCGTTTCTTAATATCAGTGACCTTGATTTTGAATTTTTTACCCAATGGGCCATTGACTCAAACCATAGCTTTGAAGGACTTGAAATTAAGATACAGTTGTTTTACAGTATGAACTTCTACGAGACTTAATTGTTGGAAAAATACGTTAGGTTTTGTGTTTAAATGAAGAAACAATACAGCGATTCATTTTGGTATCAATTTATTACGTCAAACTTCTAAAAGCTGCATAAGCAATTTTGACACTCTTCAAACAATGGTCTCGAAAACTACAAACGTGCGAGATATGTAACAAGTTTCTGGGTTTATGATTGGCTAACTATAGTTTAGATTCTGGAGACGTTTGTCACCTAAGTGCACTAAAATTATTCACTTACCGATGGCTCAACGGTCCGCCATGCTCGCTTTGAATGCAAAAAAGGTCACGTGAGTCCTCATCTATTTTATATATATGCCTTTTGGGCATAAATGTTTAAATTTACAAAATGTTTATACCGATAAATGAATAGAAATAACATAAACCAAAGATTTGGAATGTGTGCACGTTCTTTAGCAATATAAAATGTACATTACAGATGTCGGATATTATGCCGATTCTGAATTTAGAAAGCACAGGACGGTTTGCTCATATCACATCCACTCAAAAACGGTTGGTTATAGATGCCTCAAAAGAGGTCACTGGTACTGTTGCATTGTCAGAAGAGGTAACGAAACACCTTTATGTCTATCTTATTGCATATACAAGAATGAGGAAAGAGTTGCAAGTAAAGTAATGAACATTATAAAACACACACATTGAAAATGTCTCCTTAAATTCAAGAATATTATGTAAATCAATAGGTCATTACTATATTTTCTTTGGAATCATACTTGAAAAAATACTTGCACTTGTGTTAAAATAATTATATTTTGATACTCTAATTAATATGCAAAATATGCAAATAATTTTATTTACAGCTGAATCTTTCCAGGCTATAAATCTATTTCTAAAAACTAAATGCGTTTAAGTACAAACTTTTATTTCAGATACCGGCTGTAGAATACCAGAGCTTCAACTTTAATCCTGATCCCGATGATGCATCTAAGTTAATGTACTACACGATGAATGCGAGAAGTTCCGACGACGACATAAGAATTAGAATTCTACCAGAGTCAGAAGACATACTTCTGTTTAATGTCTACGTTAACTTTGATGTACTGTTTAAGTGCATTTTATTCGATACGCTTTTAATGCAGCATTGATATATTACACTAAGACGCTTAAGAATCAGTTCCCTGTTTCTTTTCACTTTGTAAAAAAATGTTAATGATTTTCTTTAAAAATGTGTTTGTAGTACCTAAGCTAACTAATTGTCTGACCTTCGGTATAAGGCCCTCGAACATATTGTAAATTACATTAGTTTTGTCTTATTTGTATAAATGCCGGATGCATTATTATACAATAAACTTGAATATTCAAATATGCAGTATGCGTATATGTACATGTTTATTTTTATTGTTTGGTAAATGTATTGTTTTACATTAAAAGTCATGTTCGTAACATATGATGACAAGATATCTAAGAGTGTCAGTCAGTTAGTAAACACATTATGCCCCAGAAACTAGCAATTGTTGTCTTCTTTAGAATGGGTAGATATGAGTTATATAACGTTCACAAATTGTTTAATGGCATGTTAGATGCTTATCACAAGAAGGAAGCACTTGTGAATGCAATATTTATTGCCATAACAGAGCTGATTTCTAATAGAAGCAAAAGATGGTTCAGGTTATTGGCAAAGGAGTACTTTTTGAAAACTGTAACAGAACATCATAATAACAACATTTTGAGGAAAATAAAAACGAAAGCATTTCCGGGGCAAAATGGACCTTTAAGTATTTGCTGCACAAGCTTTTCAAATTAACAGACAGGTCCTTAAATATCAGTTGAGTGAAAAAGTCTTTTCCAATGTGTCTGCCTTTCTTGTGCGCTTTCCTCTTTGCGTTGTATGGCATTCGTTCATTAAATGCGTATGTATGTGAATTATTTCATTTAAAAATAGATTAGATTTTTAAGATATGATAGTATTATTTCACAGGAAGATGTGACCATACTTGACCACGCTTTAACTACCGACTGCAAAAGTCCAGATTGGATAGCTACATTTAGTTCAGCGTTGCTGAAAGAAAATAACTTCGTGTCAGGAAACATCAACTTTGCTGTTAAACCTGTTTTTAAAGGTAAATGTAGACTGATTATGTGATAGAGATACATGTAACTATATAAATTGATGTAATCGCTCTGAAGTGTTACTTTCTAATCTCTTTGATTCCATGAATCTTCGTCACATGACAAAATCATTTTCAAACATTTAGTTAAAAGATCTTTAAAAAAATAAAACAGTAGCTTTTAACAATGTATCTAAGAAATGTATTATGTTAAGGAGTATACATGAATAATTTGACCTTTGAAAATCTCGCAAGAGCATGAACGAAAGTGTCTTTTGGTTTTCAAAAATACATCTTGTTCATTAATTTTGTCAGAGGGAACAAATGAAGAAAATGTACTCAATCGGAAAAGACGTGCAGCGGACACTCAAGGCTCAAACAGGACGCAGACAACATTTAAGCTTGCATCAACAACAGCAGCGTGTACGGTATGGGACGAAATGAGCGAAAGTTGGAAAAGCGATGTATGCCAGGTACAGTCAAGGAAATAATTCTGATGAAAATGTTATCAAAATTGAGCAGAGTTTATTTCCCTTATATTTGAAGTATGGGTTTTTAAAATAATTCCGGGGAAAAAAAGTCTGATCAATAATCTAACGATGATGTTTTTTCATAATATGCAAATCATAGTCAATTATTATTATATAGGTTTAACCGACTGACATTTTCCATAAATGAGCCGCGTCATGACAAAACCAACATAATGGGTTTGCAACCAGCATGGATCCAGACCAGCCTACGCATCCGCGCAGTCTGATCAGGATCCATGCTGTTCGCTATTAGTTTCTCTTCTTGTAATAGAGTTGGTAAGCGAACAGCATGGATCCTGATCAGACTGCGCGGATGCGCAGGCTGGTCTGGATCCATGCTGGTCGCAAACGTATTATGTTGGTTTTGTCGTGACGCGGCTCAAGTATTGATAAAAAAATTAACAATAGAAATGTATCATTTAGATATTTATGTAAAATATTTCTTGAACAAAATGTTTATAGATTTCTAAGTGAATTAGTATAAACATTGGAATGATAAATGTTATTTTGTTAGAATCATTTCTTATCTGCCATTTGTAGATATGTAAATATTGGATCATGTATCTCACAGTTACCAGCAACATCCATAAATTCTTACGTTGTTTATTGTCACATATAATACTTAATACTATCAGCATAATTATTCATGGTTTAACAAACCTTCTTTTACGTACAAATTCACTTAAAGCGTCCTATTGATATAATTGCTATTGATTCTTCTTTCACTCAGGGTGTATGGAACCCGGATGAAAACAAATTCACTTGTAACTGTCCTGCGAGGAGAGAAATGACGTTTGCTAACTCTTTCTATGTAGCCCCTAATACAATCGACTATACTACAGTGTTCCTGAAGTTTTCTGCACATGACCAGGCTGCTGTTATAGCCGTCCTCGTCCTTATAATTATATTGTATATACTCGTGGTTGTATGGGCTCGTTGGCAAGACAGGAAGGACTTGTTAAAAGTTCGTGTTCAGTTTAAATATATTTGTACATATGAGCCGTGTCACGACAAAACAAACATAGTGCGTTTGCGACCAGCATGGATCCAGACCAGCCTGCGCATCCGCGCAGTCTGATCAAGATGCATGATGCTCGCTATCAGTTTCTCTACTTGTAATAGAGTTGGTAAGCGAACAGCATGGATCCTTATCAGACTGCGCGGTTGCGCAGGCTGGTCTGGATCTATGCTGGTCGCAAACGCACTATGTTGGTTATGTCGTGACACGGCTCATATTCAGATAAATAAGCAGGACATGAATGTAGATATAAGGTATATTATGCCTGAAACGAATATTTTCCTTCTTGGACGGGGTAAACATGAGTTTTAAACGTTTGAATGATAGTTAAAGAGTATTTACGTGCTTATCACCCAGAAACAATAGCACTGAAAACGAAGTTATTTGTCATAAAAGTAGCATAATGTAAACAATGTAGAAAATTTGACTTCTATACAAAATATACATTAACTAAATCACTACAACTGCACTTATTGTCAAATCTAAAGCAAAAGATTGTTGAGATATTTGACCAATGAGCACAGTTTTGAAACTATAAAACAGACAAACAAAACAGCTTTTGTGAAATAAATATAAAAGCATTCTAGGACATATTGAGCCTATAAATTTCCATCCGTTTATTAAATTTTGCAAAACGTTAGTCTGCTGTCTGTCGAAGCTTTCTTTTGTACCGGATTGTATCATTTGTATGTTGGTCTGGAAAGTTTGGTATCATAAAGTTTGTTGTAACATAAAACTGTGTGGTCCGATTTTGTTCAAATAAATTGAATTTCTCAGAATAAAAGTGCAAAGCAAACAAAGAAATAACAAAGGGGAATTCAGTTTGTATGCGAAGCTATTTTGATTATTTATTTACATGTATATAAATCTAAATTTATAAATATACATATTTTCAGTGGGGCGTGACACCGCTAGCTGACAATTTTTCGGAAGACAGTTATTTTTACGTTGTTAAAGTTTTCACAGGGATGCGTGCAGGTGCAGGAACTAGGTCACGTGTTAGTTTTGTCATTGGTGGTGAAGAAATCGATACAGGAATCCGGGCCTTGTCAGACGGTGTCAGGAAAGTAAGAATTGTTTATGTATTTTTGTTTGTATAATTAGTTAACTGACTAATGCAACCCTGATGTACCTTGCCCTTCATGATGGTTTGGAGTTTTTGAATAAAGGGTGTTGGCTATAGTATTCTTAGAGCACGCTAGCTTCATATCATTATAAATACATTTGTGTACCTCGACATCCCATGTTTATTTGCGTATCATTACCTGATGTCGGTTTCAATAGATCACGTGGTACTTATGCATAATTTGTAAATCAAAAATGAAATACAAAGAACCAGTGAAACAAAATCAATTATATTTGACATTTAAAACTTGTACATGACCATTTTAATTATGGTATGTACATGTAAACACGGGAAGAAGATTTATGTGCGTGGTAAACTAAATGAGTCCTCTTCTTTATTTAACAATAAAAAATATGAATTCAATACCTACAAGAATTATATTGATTTTTTTAAAAAAAAAACTTTTTAACGTGTATGCTCCATTGTCATAAAATACACAATCCCGTTATGTGAATATGATGTTCTATTTTATTGAAATCCTTTAACAATAATTCTAAGCTGTTAATTGGTGTATTATAGAATGAAACTGTTAGAGAAATGTAAGTCAGATCAACAGAAGATGACAGGAATAAAACACTAGCATAACCGGAAAAGTAAAATTTAATGCGCCTTTTGTCAGCCGAGGTCGATATAATCAAAACGTACAGAAACTGTCATGACTTTTATTTGTTATAAAGAACTAAAGTCCTTTACTTTCTGACAAGGTCCATAAAAGCAACAACAAAAGTCAGAAAGTGTCGATCATTATTTATTATAATGGCTAACACTAATAAAATATGTGTCTATTATTTCAGCCATGTTTTACAATACATGACGTACGTGTATGTAATTGTTGAATTGTTTCATTTGTATCAAATATATTGACAATCACTAACCAATTATTCCTATATTAAAACAATGATAATTGCGTGAAAATGTAAAATTCATTTATCATGATTCTTTAATTGTCAAGGAAATACCGACTGGAAGCGTGATGAACTTCCTTATGGCTACGAGGGCATGTCTGGGTGGCCTAGAATACCTACGTATATGGCACGATAACTCGGGTAGTGGAAACCACGCCTCCTGGTATCTAAGCAAAATTGAAATCCATGACGTCCAGCTAAAAGAGGCGTAAGTTACAATTTGGGAAAGTTTGTCAACGTTTGGGGAACATATAATTGTCTTCTGTTTTGTTTACGCAACATTCAGTTTTCATCTTTAATTGCATACCATATTGAATATCATTTTATAAATGCTACTTTTCATTCTTATGTATTTCTATTTCTTGCATGGTCATAATTTTTTACCATCAACATTCTGAAATGAAAATTCATTGACAGAAATGTTAACTTTATTTCTTTCTTACAGATTTGTGTTTCAAGCAGAACGGTGGCTTGCAATAGAAAAAGACGACGGACTCCTGGAAAGTGTTTTCCCAGTTTCCAAATCAGAGAATTACAATGTTTTCAAAAATAGATTTGTACTAAATGCGAAAGAAAATTTAGCAGGTACATATAAATGAATACTTTCGGAAAGTTGATGCATAAGTTTCTTCTAAACAAACAATTTGCTTTGTAACGATTATGTGACATCAAAAATGCTCAGGTGACATGGTGCCTTTGCTTGTGCTGTCTTACGAGGAAACCCGAGGCATTCATTCGCGGATTTATTATCCTTGCAAACCAGCACCCCTCCATCAGCGTCCTCAAACATAATATCAAAAAGTATCTTTCAAAACGAATTCAATTTAAAGAAACGCAAAAGATATCAATACATGTAGTATAATTTGCAGCTTAAATTTTGTATACGCCTTTATATTTACATATAACTGTATAAATTCTGTTTATCATTCCAGAGAGTCACATGTGGATTTCTGTTGCCTATCGGCCACAGGCGAGTACTTTTACACGTGTTCAACGAGCATCTTGTGCCCTTGTTTTCATCATGTTGTCGATGATAGCAAATGCAGTTTATTTCCAGTCTAGCAACCAGGAAAATTATGATTTACCATCAGAGATTATTGTTGGACCATTCCGCTTTAGTCTCCAACAGGTGAAATATTTAATATAGTTTTAACATAGTTAATTTCGAAAAAAAATCAAAGTATATACAGATAATAGCAGTGATAATGTACACAATACAAAAATGATATGTTGAAAAAGGATTGGGTCCGACAGTTGAGCTTATAAGGGCTTTCTTCTTATAGATTGACAGTGAATAAAAGGTGAAATGTTAATATATTACAACATTTTGTTACATTGAAAACCGTTTCAATTTTATAGTAGTATTGGCAGATTTGATTGAAAAGTTACGTTATACAATTTACTTATAAGATAGTCATGACAATATTGAATTCAATATAATTAGACAAATATCATTGATCAAACATACGGATGCTTATGTTAATATTATTTTACTTCTGTGGGTTTGCGACCAGCATGGATCTAGACCAGCATGCGCCTCCGACCAGTCTGGTTAAGATCCATGCTGTTCGTTTTTAGTTTCTCTACTTATTTTATTATAGGGTTTGTAAGCGAAAATCATGGATCCTGATCAGACTGCGCGGATGCGCATGCTTGTCTGGATCCACGCTTGTCGCAAACGCACTATGCTGGTTTTGTCATGGCACGGCTCATTTCATTTCAGATCTACGTTTCTTTCATCACGGCATTAATTGTAACTCCAGTGACTCTTATTGTTATATACTTATTCAAAAAGTCTAATGTCACTCCTAAAAATAAAGATGTAGATCTAACACACTTGAAAAAAGAGGAGAAATCTAAACGTTATAAGATACCACTATTTGATGACTGGCTCGAGCGGGAACGACTTCAAAGTTTGGAACTTGAGAAGCATTTAATAGAGAAGGGAAATCCAAAAATAGAGGTGAGCATAATAACGAGTATCTTCTATATGTACATATTTTTATATCTTTATATTTTAAGTTATGACCACCATAAAAGGCACTTATAGGGACAGAAATTTGACAACATAGGTCAGATATATACCTTAAACATACCTGTATGCAAAATTAAAACATACTTTACCGTACGGAAATTGAGTTATGGCCACTTTTTTTAACTTGAGCTTGCATGTTAGAAGGGCCTTTTTCAGATTTAAGGAACCTTAGGAATGTTCTACAATATCATCCTTATGAAAAATGATTTCCTATTTAATTTTGGTAAGAAACAAAAATTAGCATTCAGTTAGCAATCCGCCTAAGCAAAATGATAGTTTCTACTCAAAATTAATGAAATATGTATAAAAATGTTACCCTACCCCACCCATTTTAACACATGTTTGACAATTTTCGTACGTCGAGAGCCTAATTCACAAAATCCCTAAAATTTACGGAAACGACATCCTGTTTCTAAATTTCTCTTAAATTTTTTAAAAGTATATTGGTTGATCTTGTAAAATATTGAATACTTTTACCGTGTATAATTTAAAAGTATCAGGTACCACCATATTTGTTACTAGAGCCAATAAATAAATATTTTAATTAAATAATCAAAATTAAATACTTTTTTTCCTCGGGAAAGGGATAAAATAGTTGAAAGAAAAAACTGTTTAACCTTCCCATGACCCTAAGTTTTACTGTAGGTAATGTATTAGGATGGTCATAACTTGAGTAGAAGTGATATTTACATCTTGTATTAAACTATCTAATAGATGTTCAAAACACTATTGTCTATCGTCCAAGTAACATAGATTATATATTAGGCTATCCAATATGTTTCATATCGTTTCTATTTAAAGACACTCGATATATTTTACATATTGATTATTAAAACTATAATACCTTGATGAATGATTAAGACAAATGTCTAAACTCTAAACCTGAACATGCTTGATAAAGTTTGACATACATGTTCTTTTGAAGACATTTTTCCGTTTGTGGTTTATTTCCTCTTGGTGTAAAATCGAACAAAACAATGATATGCACATCTGTATCAATTTTTTTCAGGGGTTTAAGTTACCAGAGACATTTTACTATCTTGCGTGGTTGGTAACTGTGGTTACCGTGTTTATCTGTGCATTCTATCTTCTGTTGTTCAGTGCTCAGTGGGGTAAACAAAAGTCAGAGGAATGGTTGACAACCTTCATTTTATCCTTCTTTGAATCTGTTTTCTGCCTCGATCCCATAAAGGTAATGTTTTGTAATGAACCCTTTATCTGCAGTGTTTCTTAAATGGACTTGTCGAGTTTCAATTCTTCGAACTCTCCATTACTAATTTTATTGATATGAAAATAAAATTTGAAGTTGATCAGCCAACGGTATATAGCCTAGTTAGAGTGTTCGTAAGTGAAGGCTTAACTGGCTCAATAACGGTGGCAAGGGCTAGTTACTTTGGTTCAATTAAATATATCATTCAATAATTGCTTATTTGTACATTGTAAGAAAAGATCCTGCTGCTCATGGACATCATTTGCCTTCTTGTTTATTCTTTTGAAATTAATATCTACAAAAATAGTAAGCTCATTTTCAAATAATCGTTAAAACCGAAAATCATAACACTTACAACTATGAGAGAGTTTTTTTTTTAATAATTTTATTATTTTTCTCTGAATTGCATTGTCTTCTCACATAAACAGAAGTTCATGTTCAACAGTGAGATAGGGAAGCTAACCTAGAATAATTGACGATACACTATCATTTTGTTTGCTAAACAGACAACCATGCTATTTCAAATATCCTTTGACTCCTTGATCCTTTGTGTGATTAATGTATATAAGAATATTCTTTAGTAAATTCGCACAGATTAACACATTCTTTTGATGTTGAATTTTGAAAAAGGTGGCATTTATGGCTCTAACGTTTGCGATATTATTCCGGTCCGCCAAGCAGTCGCAAGCTGATATTGATAGGAAAAATATTCTCCGTAACTACTCATCTAGATTGAAAAACAGATCAGGTATGTAAGATCAATACAATCTTTCAAACAGTCCTCTAATTAGATAAATAATAGAATAACAAAAATAAACAGATCGAACTCAAATAAGAGAGAAATAAAGGTAATTATTCATTTTGAAGTTGAGAATTATCGTTTATCTGCTGGAACCGAGAACGATTAGCATTTCCTAGCCCAATTTCCACATCAGTGTAGTCTGACCAACCTCTTTACAGTTGATGTATTAATTTTTATATTTTGATAGTGAAATCTAGAAAATATAGATAACGATCGTTTCTAAATGTAGGTTTTTCATTATGTCAAGTCCAAATTATTCAAAGTTGAATAAATTTTCGAAACTTAAATCAAGTTGAACAACAATTAATTAAAGGTCACAATTTTATTGTAGCTGTTATCATTTTTATCTTACCATGAATTCTCATGTACGTCATTGTCCTTTATGTTTCTTTGACCTAAATTATTGTTGACCCCACTGACAGGGGGTGCACGTAAACCTGCTCCTCCACTAGATCAAGAAAAACTAGATAGTGCACGGGAGTTGAGAAAGATGGAATTGCAAATGAGGAAAGCCTTGCGTGATATAGTCTTAAATATACTCCATGCGTGGATCCTGTTTAGTATAGCTTATAGCAACCTCGACAGCCAGTCTTATCTGCTTCATGAACAAATCAAAGGAAATATTCTGGAACCTGGTAGCCAACCTCAATTCTCTTCAGTGAGTAAATGCAATCAACAGATAGATTTAAAACGCATATGGTAATCTTGAAACATCCGTAAAACACAAAGTTATTTGAATAATAACTTATTATGAAACTACACATTAATATTTATTTGACAAAAAAGATCATTATATATTTGTGTTTAGTTGAGTCCAATGGCACCTTTACAGTTATTTAAAATGAACAGAAAATCATTTTAGATTCAATTTAGGCAGCTTAACATTAGTCTTGATTGCCTATAAATATTCAAACAATTAAGAACCTTTAATTTAGAACATGTCGCAGAATGAATAATGGTTTGAGGCATGCTGATATTTGAATAAAATAACACGCGTTTCCGAGTAAAGATACTAAATATATGCAGATTAGACATTTCAGCATGTCTCATTTTACTATTTACTTATTAAATAGTCATGACGATATTGAATTTGATATAATTAGACAAATATCATTGAAATTGAAATTGATTTTACAGATCAGTACAATAGACGAGTTCTTTAGCTGGCTGAACGACACGGCTATTGTCAACTTGTTTCCTGATAATCATTACACGGGAGAACGCTTACCGTGGAGGGTGAGACAATTCATGAACGACGGAAGTAATTTTAGAGTAGGACCACCTCGGCTTCGTCAGATGAGAACAATCAAGAAAAGTGCGTTCAATATAATCAATCTTCTGACAATTAATAAAGATATAATACTTTTTGTAGAGTTTTTAATTTCTCAGATACGTTCATATCTTTTTTAATTTGCATGTCAAACGAAATAAAGTGTGTTTTGCTTTGTTTTTGGTTTTATATTGAAAGAAAGTTTCCTTAAATAGAGCTTTCTACAGATGGTGAATCTAAATAATGCAAAAATGGCAAGTTTAATCAATAATGCTGCGTACCTTCATCAATTATAACGATGCAGCTTTGAACTCGGATGCGTAAATCAATACATATTATCTGTTCCAATTTCTCTTATTGAAATATTTAATTAAAATATCAATGTCATATTACCGCTCTTATTGTGACAAATGCTAATTGTTGAGTATTTCCAGTAATGAAATCTTATTTGCATAAATAAATAATTTTTTGCAAAGTAATTCGAGCCTTTTAAACAACTTCGAAATTGAATACATTCAATCTCTCAATATATATGAAACTGATTCCAAACAATTTTTTTATATTTTTAACAGAGCCGTGTTCCATCCCATACATTGAATCAGAAGACTGCTTGAAAAAGTATTCAGAGTCGACAGAGGATGATGATAATTATTGCATAGGCTGGAAAGGTGGTCCATGTAACCTGAAGGAGGAAACTTATAGTCTCTCGTCCAATGCATGGAAGTATACCTCGGCTTTTGACATTTGGGGTTTACCAATATCTGGTATATACGCTACTTATGGTGGAGGAGGTTACGTAGCTGAGCTAAATGTTAACAAAAACGTCAGTCAGATTATCGTTCAAGAAATATATGACCACTTTTGGATTGACCGTCAAACGAGAGGAATATTCTTTGAGTTTACTCTATATTGTTTAAATTCTAATATCTTTGTATACTCGGTATTCTTAGTTGAGTTTCCTGAGACAGGTGGAGCTCTGCCTTATTCGATGATATTTCCTCTTCGTGTTTATCAACATCTTGGTCCCACAGGTCAATATACTCTTGCTTGCGAAATCATATTCCTGTTATATCTCATAGGTTTAACTGTTGTTTCAATCATCAACATGTATCAGCAACGAAAGGCGTACTTCTCTGTACCTTGGCAAGTGTACGACCTGGTTTTCATCTTGTTTAGCTATACGGCAGTCATTCTGTATGTTGTAAGAATTGTGTTTATTAATGACAGTTTAGAATTATTCATCAAAGACAAAAAGTCGTTTGTTAACTTCTACCATGTTGCAATTTGGAATCTTATATTTGTAGTTTTTCTTGGTATCCTCTGCTTTATGGCCACTCTCAGAATTATGAACTCCCTAGGCTACAATAAAAGGATAAGAAAGACCGTGCAGGTATTCAGAAACGCTGGAAGAGACTTGTTATCGTTTGCAATCTTCTTCATTTGCTACTATTTCTTTTACGCTTTCTTTGGCTACCTTCTGTTTGGAGCAAAACTTGAGCCCTACAAAAACATAATTAAAACATTGGAAACTCTTTTTTTGAGTCTACTTGGGGCAACCACTCTTACAGAACTCGAAGAGAGTGATCCTATCATGGCAAAGATTTACTTTATCACGTTTGTCATGTTCATGGTTTACTTTGTGATGACGATGTTCATGGCGATACTTTGCGAGGCGATCGACGAGATCAATGCTGAAGCATATGTTGACAAAGATGGTGAAGTTGTCGATTTCATGCTGGACAAACTGAAGGACATGTTTATGTTTGGAGGTCGTGCAAAAAAGAGGCCTGTGTCAGGTGAGAGATGAACCAATTTTTATTCTTTTATAAACGTTAATCTTTACGTATATTTGTAGCTATTTTATTTTTCATACAAAAGGATGTTTTCAGAATTTTGACCCGCCGAGCATTATTGTTGAAAAACTTATTTTTGACAAAATCTTTTTTCAAATGTAAATGTTTAAATCTAAATCTTTTAAAAAGAGATATCCATGTTAATTAATTGTTACGAGAATATTTACATTGTATCGGAAAACGTGCATGTTTTAATTGTTGAAAAATAAAACGATTTAGATATTGGAATCGCCTTACTAAACAAAATTTCAATATTTCAACTTGTGCATCATTTTTAATAATAATTTTTTCTTACTCAAAAAAGGACGTGCCGTATATTTTAACCAATACCCTGCTGGATTGTCAACAGTAAAGAGCCAGACCAGTCTGAACGTCTCTGAAGTCTGACCGGGATCTTTACTGTTTACTTACCAACTTTAAATATTTTATCTTGACATCCTCAAATTGATAATAGACAAATACGAATAATGGATTCTGTACAAATCCATTGCAATTTTTCAACAGGTAAAGAGTTAATGAGGCAATGCTATCTTTTCTAGCTACCGAAACTAAAGAATGCGAGGATCATGAAATGAAATCTAGTGACGGGCGTCCCCTTCCAGACTACTTCACAAATAGAACTGTTCTTGAATACATTCGGGACTCAATGTTTGATGCATTACAAGGTAAGTACATGTACATCATTATTCCTTAGATACAGGTCGGTAATTAGGTATCCATATGTAGAAATACTTACAAGTGTCACGGCTTAAGTTTAATGCGTTTTTAAAGATTACCCAGACATCAGATTATTTCTTGCAAAATTGTAGTTCTTAATCAACCAGAGAATAAGCTACAAAATTAAATATTCAATTAAAAAACATTCAGTGCAATAAAAACTGATCTGTCATTACTACGTCACAAAATTACAACAATCTGGGCTGTAATAATTTTGCTGGCTTCAAACTTAACAAAAACGTTCTAACTTTTATATAAATACTTAATTATAATATACCCTTCCTGGGTACCAAGCTTCGTCTAGATGTCGTTTGGATTGGATGAAACGCCTCGAATTAAAACCCTATAAAACCCTATAAAGCGCAATGATGGTTTTAACGTGGTTTTTTTCTTTGTGTATTTTTTCCGTGCATTATAAATTATTTTATAATTCTCAAACAAGAACGCATGTCTCTAAACATGCTATGCTTGCTTATGTTAAGAAAAACTTGTGCAACCAAACGATACGAAATCAAATCATTTGAAAACAAAATACATCGTGAACATTCTTCTGTCATTTTGGTGCACCAATAGCGAATTTGAAACAAATCCTTAACATGTTCTTATCGAATTTTGAAATGAACACATACATGAATGTTTTCAATAAGACAAATTAAAGGCCAGGATATTTTAAATGTTAATTGTTAAATGTTAATTTCTTATTCTAGATTACCGGAATGCAACTGGGAGTATTGCAGAGATGTCATCTACGACTAAGTCAAAGACGTCCTTTGACAAATTTTAAATACTTTTTAATCTGTAAAACTCTTATTTATGTGTTTTAACAGTCTTACTTATTCTAGCTTGTACATATATTGAACATAACTTATCATCCTTTTTTATCAACAATGTAGTAACTACGTCCACAAGATGATTTGAATGAATTATATATGAACATTTTTAAAGGTAAAAAGGAAGATCAAAAGCACGCAGAAGTAAACAAAGAACCAATTTAATTATACATATATCATATAAACTAACTGGAATTTCAAATAAGCGACTTATACAAGAGGTATCGATCAGTAGACAGTAGTTTTTACATGACTTAACACCGACTATGGCAAAACTTCAATAATTTATAGCTATATTATCGTTTTCAGGTGATACGTCGATAGTCACGCTTATTTTTCAAACGGCAAATCAATCGATAAAAAATGAAAAGTGGTTAAAACATTGGAAATCAAAATCAACGCGTAAACAACATCTCAATAAATTAGAAACTGATTGTAAATGACATCGATGTTCAATATAGCGAGCTATAAATATATTCATACTTTCGTAAATTTGGTAAATATATTCATAATTTGAGTGGTAAAACTCAGTGTTTAAGAAACCGAGTGGTAAAATATCGGTGTTCAAATTGCCGAGTGATAAGACATCGGTGTTCAAATAATCGAGAGAAATAAACAATCATAATCGAGTTAGAGATTGGTTAAAGCATCGGTAATCACGTTACTGATAGGTAAAACATCAGTTCTCAAATTAACCAATTATAGTAAAAGGGGGTTCAAATTAGCAAACGGTAAAACGTCGTCGTCAGTAGCAAGTGGTACGAGTTTTAAAAGCAGCGGTGCTTGATTTACCGAGCGGTAAATTATCAACTAGCTTGTTGAAGTCTATAAATATTTAGACGATCGATGCCATTTCAGTGTCATTCAATATAACTGTAGTTTTTGTTTTTTTTAATTGTTATATATAGTTATTTGTTGTTAATCATTCTTTGAACTAAATATCAAACACATATATGACTATTTGGAACATTAATTTGAAATTGTACCTATCATGTTTTCTATAATAAAAAAAACCCTGACATTCTTGTTAACTGCACGGACTCAAACAACATCTATCAAAAGTAAAGAGTTAAAGTAATCAACACAAATACACAGGAAAAGTTGCAGATGGTCTGCCTTTTGTGATCAAATCTATTTCTAGTTCACAACAATATTTCCTTGCCTGCCACCAGTAGCGTGTCCAAGAAACGAACTCGTAATTCATGATGTCATGTTAAATAATATTGACCAAGTATCTAGACAAAACAAAATAGAATTTAATTTTAGACATAATTGTTGTTATTTCACTACAGATAATATTATATCATCTTTTTTTATAATTATATGATTTGTTTTTGGGTGAAAATACGTTATGTATGTTTTGTTCTTTTTTATATTCATGTGTTTTGTAATAAAATGTTACATTTTGGTGATAGAAAACTGCATGCCTCCAGAATAGTCAAAATAATTCTAAAATTCAAACTTGAGAAAAATGAACTAAGATTTTTAAGAAAAAGTTAAACGATTCAAGATTCAAGTAATAACTGACATGCCACGTGCTTTAATGACTGATTTAGCAGACTTTTTCTCCATATTTCCAATGCGTGACCAACGCAATCAGAGCTTTTGTAATATTTTCACCTCTTTTTGGTAGTTTACGCGGATTGTAAGTGTCATTTTCAATGTGTAAATTACTTTCTTTGTTTGCTTCACAATATGGTTTACTACTTAATACATTTTCATTTCTTTTATCAAAATTAGCATACCTCTGGAGGCATGTTGCTTGAATATAAGTTCCATTATTTATGAATGATTTGTCTTTATTTCTTTGCCTTTAATAAAGTTGGTTAAGTATGTATCTCAATTTGAAATGTGAGCCGAATCAATATAAGCACCTTTCAAAATAATTATAAATTCTTTGTCAGGCTTGATCACATACGACAAATCGAAACCATTTTTTTAGGAAACTACAATGTTTTTAAAGAATTTGAGAAAATGTTGTAAAGATGTTTGTTCATTAGATGATCTGCGCATTTGAGAACTGTTTAAGTTTTATTTCACGACAAGTTAAACATGGAATTTTCTTTGAATTTTATTAATGTTCGCTATTTTCTAAAATTTGTCGATGAATGTTATTGTAAAAGGTCTTTTGGGAGAACATGCAATTAACCTGTTGCCCTTTTCAGGTATTTTAAGTTAGTCAATATTTTTTCCCTGAAGGTTAAAATTATTATTAACAAACAACTGTATTTTTATCTATTCTGAATATGTTCTCTTATCTATGAATCATTGATTTATCTTATTAACAAGACTTAATTTAGCAGACGACAAAAATATAAGAGATACGAGTTAGTAATTTCAATGAAAAAATCCATTGAACGATATTTGTCCCCAATTTAATGTAAATTTTCAATGGTAAGGTATTGATTTCTTTGACCTGTGTCTTGTCATGTGTTTCTAACAAATATGATATATTAGCAAATAAATAGCTGTAGAATATTAAATTTCCTAGAAGTGTTATTACCTACATACATTATTCATATTAGTAACTTGTCATGCGTCCCTGCCATTGTATGATCGCTGTCTGAATTATACCCGGAGGAAAACAACAATAATTAGCCGCTTTGTATCACTTCCAAATTGACATGCCGCCGATCAAATAACTTTGCAAATACAAAATTATTTGAAATCGCTTTGAAATGGTATGAACGCATGGTATTTTAGGCGCGATTCAATCGATTCGAGATTAATATGCGTAAAAAACACGACAAAAAGGGGGGCATATAATATATACATGCGCATTAATATATCATAGGCTTTAATCTTTTCCCGTAGGGTATAATGTATGAGGTAGGAATTCTTAATCCGTCAATTTTAAATGTACAGTGAGTTTAAGTTTATTTTGTTTTTAATGTTTTGACCAGGAGATTAAGCTTTAAAAAAAGGAACAATTCCAAAACCGATTTTCCATATCATATTTATAAGGCTTTTAGCAATTCGTATTAATCAAAATGCTGCAATGTTTATATTCTTAAAAAAGCACAGAAACTTGGGGTGTGGAGCTCAAAACGCATTTAAATTCCAAATAAAATGTACATTTGTCAATCCCAGCATATGTACGAGTACTTAACGAGTAAGAATAATTAAGCTGTTCGACTGAAAACGGAAGCGATGCATGAAATATCGAATGACACATTTAAAACAAAAATTAGCGAAAATGTTTTTATCTGACATCCCCAACCATAGACTTTGCCTACTTTCATATTATGACTGTAATAAATTATTCGCTTTACGATAATGTATCTCTCACGACAATATATACGCGCATTGCTTTAAAGCACTCCCTGAATTAATGCAATCTTCTACATCCGCTTAAAGTATTGTCAAAGGAAAAATGTACTTCAAACCAAGTTGTCATAAATAATGAATTATGTGTCCTGTGCTAATTGTCAGGTTCATTTACATGAAAGTTAAAGTATAATGTATGCTTGAATAACTTTGATTTTTCAGATAATCTTTCGTTGTTGTCTTTTTTCTTTTTCTATTTTTCGCTATCCGTTCTTGTGATGTTTAGCTGTCGAGTCATGATTTAAATGAAATAGGTAAAAAAAGACTTTTTTATCATTTAAAATCCCTGAATCAATACATTTTGAAATACATGTGTTTGCTAAACATGTCTCAAAAGCTGATTTTGAACACTTTTTTTCAAAGGCAACACTTGGTGTATGATAAAGATCACTTCTTTTCGTATGCAGATTTCACAGTATTAAACAGTTTTTATTTTGGAATTGTCGCTTAATGGTTTTGTCCAGGTTTGTAAGTTGGAAAAGTCCATTTAAAGCAACACGCCGTTGTACTAACTTCAAATACCGCGGTTCATAGTAAAAATTGAATACATTAATAAATGTGCATATTTTGACATCAGAGAGTCCGCCTTTTGACTATCGCGGGGTTTGCCTTCTTCAAATTCTTTCATTCGTGTGGGAAATACTGGGATCTGTAATCTCCGAGATCGTATTGAGAAAATGTTGAAACGAAAAAAAAATATTTGGTTTTAATAAGTGTCGTTATTTGAGGCAATAAAAAGTTATAAATATTTTATAAAATAATACTCGTATGATGACTTGAAATCGATATATATGCGATAGGGGCTATATCAACCTACATATTAACTTGAAATACGATCCCGGATTACCGGACTTGTTTCCCCCACTATTGTTGTGACACCGTGTTGAATAAATTGTTTTTAAGTAGGTTATGCAAAGGAGAAGAGAAAAAAACACGTTTTGCCGATGATTTTGCCAACTTTACTTTTTGAACTTAGAATTCGCGATTTCAACAAATTCAATTCATGATATCACGATTTCACCTTATAAATTTACGTTTTAACTTCATAAATTCGCAGTTTGATGAATTTAGCATCATTAATTTACGTGTTGAATTAAACTTTTTTAATTTAACGAATTCAACTTTATGAGTTCACGAAGTTGAATTCGTGATTCATGAAGGAAATCGTGAAAATGCGAATTTGTTAAGTTGAAATCGTAAGTCCATGAATTTGAAATCTTGAATTTTTGAAATTTTATTCTTGAATTTATGAAGTTCAAATCGTGACGATAAAATATTACTACGGGTTTTTCGTATTTCTGTGACAAATTTGGATTAAACGATTTTATATGAACTGCGGTAAATCTCAATTCACCCTTTCTGTTAATTACACATTTAAATATAATATGATACCAACCTTGCTGAAACCCATGCTCGCAAAATATAATTTTATTCAACTTGTGCAAAAAATTCAGTATTGAACTTACACTCATTCAATATCCTCTAATTATTGCATATATAAATTATCATCAATTCATTTGCACAATATACAAAAGGGTTGGGCCAAAAGATTTTGCAGTGAAATACATGCACAAGCATAGTTCACCTTCAATGTATCTTGTTAATATTTCAATTATTTTTCTAAAAGAATCCACGAAGAGCGACCACTCGGCTATACCACCACTTTAAATTGTGGACCAATTTGCAATGAAAGTTATTTTCGGGGCAACTTAATAATCCATTTGCAGTAAAAAAAAATCATGGTCATCTGCGGACCTACTAGATGATAGTTAGTAAAATTTCAACGAGATGGTTAACTGTGTGTCAAGTACTTGTTATCTGTTTGCATACTGGATGGTGAACTGCGGACCAACTTAAAGAATCATCTTCGGACTAGTCATATACATAGGTCATAAGGTCAATTTTTTTAACGTTGGCTCTTTTTTGCAATTACTAGCATTCACACAGATCTTGAAATCAAATCAACAAGTAATAAAAATAAAACGTGTTTTTCAGGCCAGAAATAATGGTTCTGTTCGATGTCAATAAAAATTTGTTATCAAAACTATCATACAGTGAGTTTTGATCAGCTTATTAAGAACCGAGATACATAAATAATAATCAATTTATTTCACATTTAGGACATTAACCTTGTCTGATTTCTTTTCTCATTTTTTTGTCATAGTCACTTACAAGTAATAATTATGGTAAAATATTTCTAACCTTTTCAATTTATTTATTATTTATGACATGATATCTGTCTGATTTTTGCTCGTTTTTTTCCTAGAATAATGTGAAGTTATTTCGTCTGTGTAAATAAATTGTTCATACCGTTCATTATATGAATATTTAATTTCTTTATCTGCTCACTCAAATGAATGCAAATAGTTATTGTCAACATTGACGACTGTTTTACCTAAAACTGATGTATTTACTTAGATGTAATCAAATATTATAATGACAGAACAGTCTTCAATTTGCTTCAAATTGTTATAATATAGTCAATTATCTCAGACAATAGTGTGTCCTGGAAGACAAATAAACAACTTTGAATACGATTTTGTGCTATAAATGATTTAAGGAAGGTCTTATTGTACTTTGAAATCACGAATATTACCGTATTATATTTTTGTTTTGGTTATATCTATACTATTTCTATACAATCAGAACAACAGTAATGGCAAGTGTATTATATTAAATATATAACCATAGTTTTAAAACATCAAAAACGGCAAATTATTGCATTAAATATATAAATATTGTTAAATGTCAATAAAAAACAACAATATCTGTGCATAAAAATCCTGAACATAGTTAAAATAGCACAGAAAAACAACAATATTATTGCATTTGATATTATACACTTTATTATAATAACATTAGTTAGACAAGATTATTGCATTAACTCATTCGGTCCGGCGTATTTAACTCTGCATCCAGCGCTGTAACACCGCACTTTGGGGTCAAGCGCACTTTGGGGTCCGACCACAAAGTGCGTTACGTACTTTGGGGTCCGACCCCAGAGTGTTTTACGCACTTTGAGCACTTTAGGGTTCAATCTTGACCCCAAAGTGCGTTAAACAGGTACATATGCATTTTTTAACATCAGACAAAGGACCGCTTATTGAGGTCATAAAAAGTCAATAAAAATGAATTTTCATTATGCTATATTGTAGTCAAAGGCAATGGTAAACAAAAGTCAAGGTCTTAAAATAGAGAAAATAAGAATCACTAAAGAAAGTCCAACACTGCACAATTTAAAATGTTGCAGGCTCGGTTTGATTGAGCCTGTTCATGAACGGTACTGGAAAATGTAAGTTGAATCTATATGGAATTTAAATGATCTTGATCAGTAAGTGAAGAATTTTCATCAATAAAGAATTTGTATCAATTAATAAGCTCAAAATATTTTTTCTCACATTTTCAATTTATTTTAAATGAATGTACACCTTTCATTAACCTCATTGTTTTTAGCTAATTGCATCATTTCCCCGTTTTTTTATTTACAAATTTACAGAAATATGATATTCTTAGCAAAGACAAAGATATAAATCCTGGGAAATCTAAATAACACATTTCAGTAAAAAAATGTGCCTGATTAAATGTTGAAAGGGTTATTTATTTTGCTTATCTTCATAAAAATGTAAAATTCTCATTGAGGGGTCTAGAGGTGATGGTGGGGTGTCCATCGGCCGGAGAATAAAAAAAATAAGGTTTTAAAGGCCCATTATGGTTTTATTTGTATTTCTTAAAAGCTTTTTAATTTTTGGTGTACTTCTATAGTATCCAAAAAGTTATCATTGGCCAATTACCCGAACCACCTTTTTCACCTGTTGCTTTTTGGCAGTAAGTACAGTCATAGTGAATTAGAATTTTATGTGGAAGTTCTATACTACATTGTTTACATTTCGCTACTTTTATGACAAATTATTTCACATTAATCACTAGTTTATTCTTACATTTCTCCGATACCATAATTTAAACATTATAAAATTCATGTTTGCCTTTTCTAAAGAAGTATAAAAGATTTCCTATTAAAAAAGCCTCTGGCGAACGAAAATGTTTTCCATATATATTACGACTGGTGGTGCATAAGCTTTTCACCGACAGGGTTTGTGTGCCTTAAAACGTTACACATGGAAAGCATTACTGCTATTTGCTATTCGCGATATCCAGGAAAATAAAAAGATAAAATAAAGTAAAGTTGTAAAATAATTTTTTAACTGTACTTTATATATATTTATGTATAACTCTGTAACAAAAAGTGTCTCTCAATCTATTCTAACCATTAGCAAAAACCATTCAATTCCTTGACAAAAAGTGATTCCTTATTTAGAATAGCAACACGATTCACATGTCAACCAATAATGATAAAATACGTACCTGTCATACACGGAACAATATCGGAATGAAGGATATGTTGAAGTAAATGATTTACTTAGTAGACATGAATACACGTATTCATTGTATTGTGTTCTGGACACTGTGTCGCAAGTATATCTAAACATACCAACCATCCTTATGCAAAGATCAGTCCCTTTTATTCTTAAAATTCTAAAGGTTTTGTCATAGTATTATCGTCTTTATGCTATTATATACTAAAATCTAAAAGAGTTTTGAAGGATTAGTGTTTTAGTTATTGAAAACGTTGATTTTCCTTTGAAAAGTTGTAAGAAAAAAATATGATGTTGTCAAAGTGCGACAGAAAGTGGACAATTATTTCACTGACTTCTTGGACAACAAGGCACTTTGTCGCGAGTTCGAGTAACAACTAACCGGAGTAAGGTATGACTTACTGAGGTATGGTAAGAGTGAAAAGGTTATTATTCATGACCCACTGTAGGTACTAGTCTGCGCCTACTAAACTGTGGCTATTCCGTTATAAAGCCATCGACTAAAACAAAGCAGACACAGGTAAACACAGTTTGTAAAAATATCCGTTTTTTTTAAACATGCTTGTTTTTCATAAATCTAAGAATGCTATGCCACGTAGAACTTTTACCAAATATTAAGTTGTGTGTTTTCTGTTACATTGGGACACATTTTTAGTGATTTCTTTACTGTAATAAAAGTGTTTGCCCAATTTATCATGCATTAAACATGATCCCAACCTACCCTTTGGCCAAACACACAAAAACATATTTCAAAGAGCTTGGTTAAAAATAAAATATTCACATTTGTTCAAATGTGATCGAGTCATCGACACGGTGCTGTCGCCATCGGCAATACGAAAGAGCTCTCACAAATTGATTGAGCAAATACAAACATTCATGTATATTTAAATTAGTTTCGATATTATGGAATTATTCCGATTTATTTCATAATTTCCAATTTGAATGAGATAGGTTTTATATGTATGCATGTTTTCTTAGCTTAATGATGGTTCATCCGCTCTTTTCATGCACAGATCCCGGACATGTCACCATTCATGTCATTTAATGTTATTATCAACCAAAAGGTGACCTCTAAATTTTGAATTCAGTTATTCACTGAATGATACTCCATATGTATGCAAGTCGATTTTTGTGATGATACAATTTTGATGCACGGATGCAATTGAGACCATTATATGCATCATGGAGAAAAGGGTTTTTCTGCATATCTCTCAGACGAGCTTCACTGACTGATAAGGTTATGCACCTGACACATGTTTTCCGTATGCATGGTCGAAATGCACGATCATTCTATCTAGTTTTTCACAGACGACTTTGGATGAAAATTTAGCAATAAAAGAAGATCTTTTTTTTAATTTTGTATAATACTTATAATGAAAATACCCAAAACCGGTTGTATACATTAAAATTATGTAATAATTACTGTTTTTTAATGTAGTATTAAGTGTGAATGACAGTTGTGTCTTTGATCACGATTATTTGCTTTGCTTTTTGAAACTTGGTCCCTGTGTGTGCATTCTTTTATTTGTTTTCGTCGGTGTCGTGTGCTGAAAATTTATTGTTGATTTAATGTTCATTGTTTTGACACTAACAGTGTTCCGTTGCTTTGGCGTAATGTACTTCGTGCTAAACGCCACAGTTAAACATTTTATGACTGTAAGTCTTTATCAACTCATGCAATTTTGTCTATTTATGAATATTGAACGCCATAATCCACAATATCGACACTAATAACATGCTTTTATTGGCTCCATCACATTTGCGAGAGCTCTTTTACATTGCCGATGGCACATTTGAATAAGTGTAAATATTTCATTTGTAAGCAATCTCTTTGCAATATTTTTAGTGTTGAGCCAAAGTTAAGGTAGGCACAATGTTACGTTCAATATTATGTTGGTCAGCATTAACTTTATGGTAGGGAAATCACTCAAGACGTGTCTCCTCGCGAAAGAAAACACACGAGTTGACAATAGGTAAAAGTTCTAGCAACGTCATTTTGGAGTATTTCATATCCAAATTGCATCCAAAATGACGAGAAAAATATTGTTCGTGGCATAGCATTCATTGATTTATGAATAAAACAAGCATGTTTAAATCCGATATTTTTTAAACTGTGTTTACCTTTCAGCTTTGTTTTGGTCGATGGCTCTAAAACGGAAGTGTCGAGTGCATTTATTCATACAGATAAACCAAAATATGAAAGAGCCATTGTTAGGTAGGCGTGAAGTCAGTGCAAAAAAACGACCATTTACTGCCAATGGGATACTCTGTCCAATTCTCTATAAATGTACATGTACTTTGTTATAACAAAAATTGAGCCGCGTCATGACAAAACCAACATAGTAGGTTTGCGACCAGCATGGATCCAGACCAGCCTCCGCATCCGCGCAGTCTGATCAGGATCCATGCTGTTTTCTTACCAACTCTTTTACAAGTGGAGAAACTGACAGCAAACAGCATAGATCCTGATCAGACTGCGCAGATGCGCAGGCTGGTCTGGATCCATACTGGTCACAAACCCATTATGTTGGTTTTGTCGTGACACGGATCATACCATTATCATTTATTACCATATTACCACATTAAAATTGAATAGTTCTTGTTTCATTTCAGAGATCGCTGGTCCGCATTATGTGAGTTAAATATTCATATGTATCGAACCAAAACCCAGCTTTCACAATATCCCGCGGGATATCTGCGCAGGTAAGGTAATGATGAATAAATTCTGAAATTTTAACCATTGTTCCAATTACAATCGATGGCGAAAACAATTAAACAGAAATCGAGCTGTTCTTGCGCGTCAATTTTATGAACTATAACCAGTTTAAACTTCGTCTGCGTTCTAGTAATACATACAGTTAATTATTAATTTGTTAATAATATTAAGGTTAAAAAGAAGAATATACTTTTTTTAATATATACTTACATATCAGTGAAGTCTGTCAACTTGAACCGCGTGTTGCCAAGCAAACTCGCTTACGTCACTGGAATATATTTTATGTCTTTTAGAGGGACGCAGTTAGAGGAATGATTAGATACAAGATGGATTTCCGTGTGTTTTTATCCGTGATCATTTTGGTGTCTATTTTCATTCTAGGTATGTATAAAGTATTTGTATTTAATAAACAGATTGTTAAAAGATAAAGACAAGGATAAACAAGTGTGTTAAGTACTGTTTAAGTAAATCAAGACAGTGACATTTTTATGGTTTTGCTGTGACTGGTGGTTTGTGATGTGTGTTTAAAAAAATTTAATACAAGGTAATTTTATTTTGATTTAATTTTGTTTGACTTGCAAAGAGAAAGGTCTTCTGTCCTAATTTCCGGTGTAACATAAACAATGTTATTTAGTTCAACTAAATTAATGAATAATTTCCGGCCGTTTACAAGCATAATTTTGTCTTAATTTGTATGCCAATAATTTATCAATTCTGCGTTTGTATACATGAATTAATGGTTATAGGAATAGATATTATCTTATATTTGAACAAATATTGAACTAATTAAAGCGTATATAACAAAAAAAAATTGCCTCCAGATTGCGCGAATCTGGAGGCCATTTTTTTGTATTTTTTATAAAAAGAAAAAATTGAAAATGTATATAAAAGTAAAATATTGTGAAGATATCAAAGAAAGTAATTTACACGTTGCAAATGGCTCTCTCAATCCATGTAAACTACCAAATGAGATAAAATATGCAAAATAGCCCTTCTTGCGTTAGTCACGCAGAAGAAATATGGTGATAAAGTCTGCTAAATGAGGCATTAATCGCACATGACATGTCAGTTATGACTTGAAACTTGAATCTCAAAATTTAGTTATGACGAACAATTTATTTAAATGTTTAAATAAAAGTAAAATATTGTGAAGTGAACAAATATATAAACCTTTACACATTGTAAACGTCGCTAACAATCCACGTACAATACCAAAATGAGATAGAAAAAAAATGCAAAAATAGTCCTTACTGCGTTACTCTGCGTTTGTAACGCATTACTATGCACATAACATGTGAATTGTTGAAATGAAACATTTTTACTTTAATACATTTTCCTCAAATCTAATTTTTCTTGAAATATCTTGGATCATCGTTTAAGTTGCAGCTTTAGTATAATACTGATATTGGAAATAACTACAATGTAAATGACCATAATTTGGTCGGACTAAGCAACAAATTTAAGATTTAATAATTATGTAAAATATCTAACTATCATAAAGTTCGTATTCCGATAATTCTAATATACGATTAATTTTAATACGTTTAGTTAAGAAATAATATATCCCAAACTGTGATTTTATCGCTCAATAACATCATTGTTTGGAGTTCGGATGCGAGGAATTATATCACGAGGGCGTAGCCCGAGTGATATAATGATGCGCATCCGAACGACAAACAGTGATGTTATCCAGCGATAAAATCACCGATTTGGATATATTATTTCGATTCTAACACGACATCAACAAGTAAATGATGCCGTACCTGATATATAGCAAAATTGCGCCTGATTTGTTTCCGTACTTATTGTCAGCGCGTCGGATTTTATAGTGGTTACGTCACATGTATAATGATTACGTCACATGTCTAAATATAGAACGTCAAACAGTGATTTTATAGCATAATAACACACACTTTCGGTTCTTCTGTGTTTAATTGGGAAAAATGCGGGTCATGTTAGAATATATAATAAACCAGACACACAAGAAAAAAAGGGCATAAAAAAAGAATACTTGACTCCATGTGACGTCAAATGTAACGTAAATAACCAAATGATTGGCACGTAAACAGATTACAGTCTGAATTATAAATAAAGGATATTGAATGAGTGTTAATTCAATACTGAATTTATTGAAAGACTCGGATACAGTTATATTATGCGAGTCTCTGGGAGCGTCATGTTATTTTATTCAACGAGTTCAATAAATTCAATATTGAAATCACACGAATATAATATTCTATTTATCACATATCCAGAAAAAAGAATGTTTACAGTGAAAAAGAATCATTTTTCAATGACGCGCCTATAGTGTAACGCTTACATTTAGCGCGTCTTTACACGCAAATGACGTGACGTCAAAACATAATTATGCACGACCGTTAAATACCGTTTTTACGGAGTCGTAAACTTGGCACGGGTGTGTGATAAAATATTATAAATAAGGAGAGGACTACCATGAGCTATTGTAGCTCTCGGTCCAATTCCTTTCTGCTTAAATTGTAAATTATTAGCATGTATATATTATCTGCATAAAAATATGTTTAAACCAAATATTATAATATTAGTTTCATGAAGCTGAAATAAAAATTGTCAATTAAAATGTCACCTAGATCTACATATTAATAAAGAAAAAAAACATTATTATTTTTGTTTTATCGTTTATCAGGGGTTTTCGTTTAATCAGGGGTTTCTCACATTATCAGGGTTTCTACCAAACTCCTCACAGTGATAGCCTCTCTTGGCAGAATTGTCTGTGTACTGATAAGGGCAGATCACTGCGTAGGAGATTGGGTTTCTACAAGTATCCGGGTTTCTCGAATTATCACGGTTTCTCGCATTATCGAGGTTTCTTGTATATCGTGGTTTATTGTATACATGGTATATCTGGGTTTCTCGCTTTATCAGGGTTTCTGCTATTATCCGTGTTTCTCTTATTTTCAAGGTTTCTCGTAAAATAAGGGTTTCCAGTATAATCAGGGTTTCTCACATTATTTGGGTTTCTAATATTATCAGGGTTTCTCGTTTCATCATGTTTAAGTATTATCTGGGATTTTCGCGTTATCTGGGTCTAGTATCAACAGGGTTTCTCGTATCAGCAGGGTTTCTCGTATTATCAGGGGTTTTAGAACTGTCAGGGTATCTCTTTTGTCATGGTTTAGTACCATGACATAATTAGTCACGCAAAATTATGAAAATCGTAATTTAAGTTACTTGTGAAATGTGCTACCGATTCATTTCCGACGGCTTTCATGTTTGTACTATCCTTAGTTTTCTTTAGGCTGTTAGGCTGCCAACTTCAGGCTGCTAGGCTGCCAGACTGCTAGGCTACTAGGCTGCTAACTTCACAAAATTCGAAGCGTCAAAATGAAAAGAAAAATAAAGTTCAATATTTTAGAAAATAAAGATCGCGATACTGAAATAAGACGTGGAATGCTCTAAGTATGTGCTACCGATTCATTTCCGAGGTTTTTATGTTTGTACTATCCTAAGTTTTCTTTAGGCTGCTAGGCTGCCAGGCTGCTAGGCTGCTAACTTCAGAAATTTCGAAGCGCCAGAATGAAAGAAGAATAAAGTTCTTTTAAAAATAAAGATCGCGATATTGAAATAAGACGTGGAAAGGTCTAAGTATGGGAACCGATTCATTTCCGACGGTTTTCATGTTTGTACTATCCTTAGTTTTCTTTAGGCTACTAGGCTGCTAGGCTGCTAACTTCACAAATTTCGAAGCGTCAGAATGAAAAAAAAACTATGTTAAGATAAAGTTCTTAAAAAATAAAGATCACCATATTGAAAAAAGGCGTGGAATGATCTAAGGAAGAGCTACTGATGTATTTTCGACCGTTTTAATGTTTGTACTATCCAAAGTTTTCTTAAGGTTGCTAGGCTGCCAGGCTGTTAGGCTGCTAACTTCAGAAATTTCGAAGCGCCAGAATGAAAGAAGAATAAAGTTCTTTTAAAAATAAAGATCGCGATATTGAAATAAGACGTGGAAAGGTCTAAGTATGGGAACCGATTCATTTCCGACGGTTTTCATGTTTGTACTATCCTTAGTTTTCTTTAGGCTACTAGGCTGCTAACTTCACAAATGTCGAAGCGCCAGAATGAAAAAATAAGATGTACACTATAAAATTCTATACAAAATGTAGAAGTGTTGGCATAATGGTCCAGATGTAAGCCTCTCAACCAATAGATAGTATGTTCAATGCCCTCAATGTTTCCACATTTAAACCACCAAGGTGACCAAAGAATAAGAAGATTAAAGTAATAACTCCTTTTGCATGCTTGACTTGTCAATTGTAAAAATCGGAATGATTCGTGTTAAATCCGAGAATCATATTTCTCACGTATTAGATATATGAGATCATATTGTTTAATGGTAGGACATCGATTTATAGGGTGAAACGTTCTATAGTACCTTAAGCATTAGATTCTTTGTTCATAATTTAATTATTTAGTCGACAATATATCAATTACCTATTTAATAAGGCACGTGAAACCATTTCGTAACATAACCAAAGCAGTGTAAAAGGACAGGGGCGTGCACAAATCAGCAAAGTTACAAATTAATTAATCTTAATCGTAAAGCGACCATATTTAATTTACTAAACATTGTCTCCTGTAAACATTTAGTTCAACAGATTTGTTGCCAAAATTGTGCGTTTGTTTGTTCATTCGGAATACTTCGGAATTGACCCATAAAATTGAATATAGCAGTTGGTAGAAAATAGTAAACAGTAGCAAACTGAATAAAAACAGCTCTAAATAACGCTCCGCCTTTAGATCTGACCGTGACCACATACGAAGTCATCTCTGGTGACCTTTCACACAGCCAATCATCGGCGAGCATTCATAATTTTGAAAGCGATGTGGTTTCTAATTTTAACCCTGGGTAAACCAATATACGTTTTTACAATACGATTTTCCATAGCAAGTTGCATTTCGCGCATGCACATTCTGCGTAGGGTAAAAATGCAATAACGATGTCTACAGTTTATCATACTTTAAGGCTTTAATAGATGCGATTTCATGTTATGTCACCCAAAAAATATTAATTTTGGAATGACTTAAGGCGGTAAGTTATGAAAACGTGAATTAATTTTTAACAGATCTACGAAAATGTGCGGGATTAATAATTCAGTGGTCAAAAAGGGCACACACATGTCGTTTGTTTAAGGTATCATTAGACGACCTTTCCATCAGTAATTTAAATTGAAACAGCAGGGTGATAAAGATCAAATTTTATGACCCATGTATTACATAATATTACACAATTTGTATTGTACACTTCCTTTGGTCAGGCGGCAAGTGTCTAACAGATTGGCACGCGAACGGTTGTTCATTCAACCGAACGTTTAAATACCATGATATATATAGTTAATCAG